GAAGATAGAGCCCTTCCTTGGTGGCTGAGCAGAGTGCAATATATTATGCTTCAGCTGACGAGAGAGCAATTAGTTCCTGCTTGCTCGATTGCCAGGAGATAGGTCCGATAGGCTCGAAGCGGTAGATGTAGCCGGTGCGCGATCGTCTGTTGTCGGAGTCGCCCGCGTGATCTGCGTCGACGTAACCGATTAGCTTAGGCGTTGTAGTTGCGTTCTTATGGTAGGTCAGGCCGACCGTCCGGGTGCTGACGAGGTAGTGGAGAGCACGGTCGAGCTCCGCCAGATGATCCGCTTCAGGCTTCTTGAGGTGGGTGGCGAGCTGGCTTGCAGAGTAGGATAGATCTGGGCGGCAGGTGACAGCTGCGAAGAGAAGGCAGCCCAGCTTTCTCTGGTAGTCGCGTATGCCGGCGGGCTTGAGTAGAGTGGAGCCTTCCTTGTTGGTTGCTCTCATGTAGCGGTACGGTGTGGAGATGACAGTCGGTGTGAGTGCGAAACGTTTGGCGATGGTGTCGGCGTATTTCGCGGCGCTGAGGCAGATAGCGTCTCCTTCCCGGATGTTGAGGCTGAGGTACTGAGTGACGGTAGATGAAACTGTGAGTGTGAGATCTCGCTGCAGCTCCCCTTCGATCCAGGTGGTGATGCCGTCAGTCGAACCGATGTAAAGGAGATCGTCCACGTAGACAATTAGTAGGACGTAGTGGTCGTTTTTTGTAAGCCGGTACATCCCTTGATCGTGCGGTAGTTGCTTGAAGCCGATGCGGATGAGGCGAGCGTGCAGGTACTGTTGCCACAGTCGCGGGGCCTGCTTGATGTCGTAGAGTGACTTGAGTAGTTGGCAAACTTGGTTGGGTTCTCCGTGGGAGCCGTGCGGTAGCTCAACGAAAATTTCAGCATCAACAGGTGCGTAGAGAAACGCGTTCGTAACGTCAATTTGTCGCAGTTTCTTCTTCTTCATGGCGGCGATTGCGAGGAGAATGCGTAGTGAGGTGTGGCGGCTAACCGGAGCGAAAGTTTCGGTGAAGTCGCGTCCGTGTTCTTGATCGAAGCCGCGTACAACCCAGCGAGCTTTGAATTTGTCAATGGTGCCGTCGGCTTTTGTTTCAACACGGAAGACCCACTTCCCGGTGAGCAGTGTCTTGTTCCGTGCCACCCCGATAGGAACCACTTTACACGTGTTGCGTTCCCCAGTGCCTTCAGCTCCTTGTCCATGGCTTCGCGCCATTTTTCTTTATGTTCCCCCCCCCAGAGCCTGTTGAACTGTCGCAGGCTCTTTAGGAGTGGCGGTGCCATGGACTGCGGTGACGAGTCCGAGAATCTGCAGTCCGGTCTGTGAGTAGCGGGGAAGAGTTGCATCCTCGGGATAAGCTGCTTCATCTCCCGCTTCTGGATCTGGTAAGAAATTTGGTCCTACTCGTTCGGCTTCGTTGGTGTTGAGTGTTGCAGGTGTTACGTAACCGTTGTCGGCGAAATGGTAGAAGGTTTCGGCGTTGGCACTTTCGCGAGGGTTGTCTTCGTCCATGGGAACGTCGACGGAGCAGAACGGAAGAGGTCCGGCTTCTTCTGACGCGTTGTCCACATTCTGCTCGTCCCAGTCAGCTTCGTCCGCTGCGGAGGCGAAGGCTCGGTCACCACGAAAACCACCTGTGGGATCTTCGTCTTCTTGAAGGTTGGCAAGGTATGTCTGGAGCGTGAGTCGTTCGTAGAAAATTACGTCACGTGCTGCTACTGTTTCCTTGGAGTGGACGTCGAAGATTTTCCACGCGTTGTAGTTCCTTTCGATTCCGAGGTGTAGTCCCCACTGTGCGCGTTGTGAAAATCGGCCCGCTCGTGCTGCTGGGGGTCGGTACTGTACCATGCATCCGAAAACTCGTAACATTTTTGTGCTGCCCTGTTTTCCTGTCCATAGCAGATGCGGTGATGCGTTGTTCGGAAGCGATGATGACGACAGCAAGTTGTGCAGCATGACGGCGTGGTCCATTGCTGCAGGCCACTGGTGGTTGGGTAGCCGCATGCCACGTAACACCTTGCGGATGCTGTTTTGCAGAGTCCTGTGCATTCTTTCTGCTACACCTTGCTGCTGATGGGCGTAGGGAAGGGAGATGAGCTGCTTGATTCCCCTTTCCGCCAGGTACTGCTTGAAGCGCTGAGAGGTGTATTCTCCTCCTCCGTCTGACTGGAAGCTTTTTAGTTGTACGCCCGATTCTCTCTCTGCTACTGGTAGCCAGGCAACGAAGGCTGCGAATGCCATGTCGCGGCTAGGGAGGTTTTGGTGCCAGACGTAGCGGGTGGCGGTGTCGATAAAGGTGATCGTGTAGTTGTATGTTACTTGACCTGGTTCCCGATTGAACAGGATGTCGCTATACACCTTCTCGAGTGGTGCGTACGCGGGTGCGCTCGGGTTGCGATGAGGCGTAAACGGTCGATGTGGTAAGTCACCTTCGGGGCAGGTGAAGCACGTTCCGCGTACTCGTTGGAGTTCTCGTCCGTCGGTCAGTAGAAGTGAGTCCTTGTCGAGTACTCGTGCTCTTATCGTATTGTTTAAGACTGTGTTGCTTGGGTGTCCCATCCTTGCGTGCCAGGTGCTTTCGTCGGCGCGATGTCCGGGTGATCGTCGGTACATATCGGAGTTGGAGTAGAAGCTGGCGGTGAAGTTTGCGCTACGATGAACTTCTCGTGGTGTTGGGTGGAGTTGTTGTGCTGGTGTTGGTGGTGTGTCGTCGATGAGGAGCGGTGTCGTTGAAGTACCAGCGATTGGTGTTGACGTTCCTGTTGCTGCCGTTGATGGTTTTGCTGCTGCCGATGTTGTCTTTGCTGCTGCCGGTGTTGTTTCTGCTGCTGCCGATGTTGTCTCTGCTGCTGCCGATGTTGTTTCTGCTGCTGCCGATGATGTCTCTGCTGCTGTCGAATGTTGTATTGTTACTAACGTGCGTGTTCGTTCTGCTTCAGGAATGGTATGTGAATACCAAAAGCCTTCCGGACTGAAGCCGGGGTCGAGATCCGGCGGGTGTGTCCAAGATGTGAAGGTGACGATCCCGTCACTGTCTGCGGTGCCCAGGTCTGGGACGAAATCGAGAACGAAGACATTGTTCTTCAGGACCGCCTTTCCGATGTAGAGGCCGCCCTTCCCGTGGTACAGCTTGAACTCCTGGATGGTACTGTCGGCTTCCAGATGTATGCCTTTCGCCATCAACTGACTGACGCTCAGTAAGTTGTAGCCAAGGCTTTCTGCTATTAGGACTTTGGACATTTGCAGTATGACATTCGTTTCTCGTGACTGAAGTTGCACAACTCCTTGTCGTCGTGTGCGCAGGTTCTGATTATTGGCGACAGTGATGACGACTTCTCGTTGAAGTCGGTACTCGCGTTGAACGAAGCGTCATGAAGAGCACATGTGTTGTCCGCAGCAACTGTCCAAGAACCATGTATCCTTCCCGGACGGCTCGCTTTGAGCGATGGCGGCGTACATCAGGTTCGGTTGAAGTGACTCGCGGCGAGGCGTGCTGTTGTCGAGTTGTTCTTCTGGTGAGTAATATGGTGGTGACTCAGTTACGCAGGAGTCACTCAGCCTTGCCATGCAGCTGACGATGTTTCTTGTTCCTTTCGCAGGTTGTCCCGTCGATGTTGTTGAGACTTGTACTGAAGTTGTCGGATTTGCTTGCGTTGAGGCAACTTGACTACTTGAAGGGCGAAGTTGGCGTTGCGGCGACGTTGACTGTTGTCGATTCGGGCAGTGCGTACGAGGATGCCCTGAAGTCTTGCAGAAGTGGCAGAACGGAGGTACGATTTTCGGTCGATTGTTGTTGTTGTTGTAGCGCCGTTGAGTGTGAAACGCGAATTCGGGTACTGATACTTTTCTCTTGTGTCGTTCTTCTTGCAGGTCCATGTCTTGTTGCTCGGCGTGGATTTCGGCGCAAAGTGCTGCTTCAGAAATTTTCCCGTGGGCTCGTAGTATGGCGCGAGTGGAGCGCCATTGAGGACCAAGGCCGCTGATGACAACCGTGACGAAGGCGTCTTCTGAAATCGATCCTCCACATCGAAGAAGCTTGTTGTTGTTGTTGCTGTTGTTTGATTGCGCAGGTGCTCCTTGCTGATGCTGCTCGTAGAAGGACATGAAGGAGAAGAACTTCTCCATCATGCTTTGATCGAAGCCCGCGCCTTGGTTTGCGGGTGTTTCAGTAGACCCAGCTGCCGGTCTCGTTGTTGTGCCTTCCTCTGTCTGTAGGCCAGAGGCAGGAGGTGGAGTAGTAGTACCAGGAGAGCTGTTGGAGGAGCTCCTCTCCTTTCTGGTAGACATGTCTCTTGGTGTTTTAGGTGTTAAGGAGAGATGAATTTAACCCTAACCTGCTCTCATACCATGTTGGGTTGAAAAGGCCCCTTAGGATCTTTTGTAGGGTCAAACTCTGGGTAGAGTGATGTGGTAGCGGAAGCGTTAATAAATGGGTTCTGAACCACCTTGCGCTAGTGTGTGAGGGCAAAGTGAGTTGATTAAAGCAAAGAGATACAAGATTATATAAGAGTACAAGGAATACGAAGGGATACGGTTGTAACTACTTTTACTGTTTGCTGTTGCGGTTCGATACAGTGACGACTCGGGCAACTACTCTGTAGCGAGTCAGTTGTGTGTCCTTGCTGTCGCGCTGTACTTGCCAGGTCAAAGGTCGCTGACCTTTGACTTTCGCGTAACCCCCAGCTGTTACTTCAACCTCCGAGGGTTGACTCGTCGGCGTCTCGGTATGCTTCGCTTCGCTTGTGCCTTAGTGTTTCGACACGACAAAGGCGCTTAGGACCGATTGTTTCCAACACATTTAAGAGCAGACAAAAATGCCAATGCTGGTTTCTGTTGTGCGACCAACTCAAAACAGGGCCTACCCGTATCCCTAACATTCTTCCCTTGAAACACTACTGTTACTCGTCGTCACAAGGATCCAGTTCTGCGGCGCCTCAGCTCGCTCCACTTGACAACTCGTCGTCACACACATAAGCATCCATAAGAAAACTCATCACTCATCAATCAACCAAAGCTTCATACTCCTGAAGCATTTCGCCTTGTGCTTGCTCTCCATGCCACAGTTGTTATGCACCGCAACCAACCGCTCTCGCTGCGCCTCAAACCACTCGCGGTTCCCCACAGCCAACCACCCAGGGGGAAACAGAGGCACGGGCAAGACCCCTACCGAAGCTCCGTCCTTCTGGTTTTCCTCCTTCACCATATGTGCTATGGCTCGGTTCATACAAGCCTGGAGGCCCGTGGTTCGTAGCTTCCCGAACCTGAACCAGAGGCTCGGGCCCGAACCAGAACCGTCGCTGCTGCTACCGCTGCTGGCGGAGGCTTCTTGGGGGCCTGCTCCTATCTCCGCTGCTTTTCTTCTGTGATTGGAAAAGGCTTGCTTGGCCCAATCTAAAGTGAAATGCTTAGTGGGTGCGGAGGGGCGGAGGGCTATTAGCCAGACTGATAGAAATCCCAGCTGCTGCTGAGAAAGTGGTGCAGTGGTGGTAGCAGCAGCCGCAGCAGAAGCAGCAGCAGTGGAAGGATTGGGAGAGTCAGAGGTTGGAGTAGGGGAAGAAGAGGAGATGGGGGAGGTAGAGGTGGTGGGGAGGAGCGCGAGAGACAAAGAGGGGGAGGAGGAAGAGTAGGAGGAGGAGGTGGTGGTTGCGGTGATGAGTGATGGGGACTGGTCTCGGAAGGAGGGAAGGATGAGGTTATAGTCAGGGGAGAAGAAGGGGAAGGGGTCTTTCAACCATACAGTGCTGACATCACTGCATGGGAGGGAAGGGGAGGGGTGGTTGGAGATGAACCAAGAGAGAAAGACAGGGAAAGGGAGGAAATAGAAAGAGGACTTAGAAAAAGCGGGAGGTAGAACAGAGCAAAAGGCGCGCACAGATAGAAAGAACGGAAGAGAAAGACAGGAATAGAGTTACATCCAGAGTGATGTAAGAATTAACGACAGCTTATAGGAGACAGCAACAGATCTGGGATGAGGGGGATGGTGTGGGAAGGCTACGGGGAATTTACATGCATGCTTTGTGAGTCGATTCAATTGGATACGAAAATACAGCAGATCAAAGGGTTATGAAAATAAAAGAAGATGGTGGTTTGAGGGGCATTCGCAAGCATGTGCACTCCCCTGATCAGATTGCAAGGACGTTGCAGGTCACCAAGAGTGCCGGAATGCTTTTGATTCGACTCAAAAGCGTTGCAGGTCACCATAAGTGCTGGAATGCCAGAGCACACCCGAGAGGCATAGGCAGGAAGGAAGGACGTGAACCATCGATCATGACTCACTGGATTGAACCACTCTTCACCGCATCAAGTCGCATCGTACCTGATGATGGTGCTCTGCTCTGCCTGCATGAGCTGGGCCGCTAAGAGTGCTGGAAGGGCCGAGCACACCCGAGAGGCATTGGCAGAGGGGACTTGGGCAGGGAAGGGGAGGAGGTGGTTGCTGAAGCCAGGGATAGACGATGCTACGGCCTGGGGTGTGAAAGGAGCGAGATTAGGAGGCAGGGAGGCAACAGAGGGACAGAGTACGAGCAGGAAGGAAAGAAAGGGAGGTAAGGGAGTGGAAGGGGAGGAGGTAGACCCAGAGATAGACGATGCTACGGCCTGAGGTGGAGCGTGTATGGGGGAGAAAGGGCGAGGAAGGGAACAAGGTTAGAGGCAGGAGGGAAGTGGGGTGAACGTGGAGGCCGGAAGGGGAGGAGATGGGTTGCTGAACCCAGGGATAGACGATGCTACGGCCTGGGGTGTGAAAGGAGCGAGATACGGAGGCAGGGAGGCAAACAGAGGGGAAGGAAATGGACAGAGAGGAAGAGAAGGTGGTAACAAAGGGCAACGGAAGAGGAGAAGGTGGATGCTGAGTACAGGAATAAACGATGCTACGGCCTGCGGGAGTTAGTATGAGGGAAATAGGCAGAGGGAAGAGTGAGGGCGCAGGAGGCAGAGAGGCAAACAAGGGAAAGTAAAGGGGCAGGGAGGAAAGAGAAAGTGGTAATACAGGGCAACGCAGGAGAGGGTTGCTTACCCAGGGATAGACGGTGATGATGCTACGGCTTGGGGGATTGAGCAGAGGATGGAAAGGTGGTATGAACAGCTTGACTGAACTTCCCAACAGCTTGACTGAACTTCCCAACAGCTTGACTGAATTTACCAACAGCTTGACTGAACTTTTCAACAGCTTGACTGAACTTTCCCACAGCTTAACTGAACTTCCCAACAGCTTGACTGAACTTCCCAACAGCTTGACTGAACTTCCCAACAGCTTGACTGAATTTACCAACAGCTTGACTGAACTTTTCAACAGCTTGACTGAACTTCCCCACAGCTTGACTGAACTTCCCAACAGCTTGACTGAACTTCCCAACAGCTTGACTGAATTTACCAACAGCTTGACTGAACTTTCCAACAGCTTGACTGAACTTCCCAACAGCTTGACTGAACTTCCCAACAGCTTGACTGAACTTCCCAACAGCTTGACTGAACTTCCCAACAGCTTGACTGACCTTCCCAACAGCTTGACTAAATTTACCAACAGCTTGACTGAACTTTTCAACAGCTTCACTGAACTTCCCCACAGCTTAACTGAACTTCCCAACAGCTTGACTGAACTTCCCCACAGCTTAACTGAACTTCCCAACAGCTTGACTGAACTTCCCCACAGCTTGACTGAACTTCCCAACAGCTTGACTGAACTTCCCAACAGCTTGACTGAACTTCCCAACAGCTTGACTGAACTTCCCAACAGCTTGACTGAACTTCCCAACAGCTTGACTGAACTTCCCCACAGCTTGACTGAACTTCCCAACAGCTTGACTGAAATTCTCAACAGCTTGACTGAATTTACCAACAGCTTGACCGAACTTTTCAACAGCTTGACTGAACTTCCCCACAGCTTAACTGAACTTTCCAACAGCTTGACTGAACTTCCCAACAGCTTGACTGAACTTCCCAACAGCTTGACTGAACTTCCCAACAGCTTGACTGAACTTCCCAACAGCTTGACTGAACTTCCCAACAGCTTGACTGAACTTCCCAACAGCTTGACTGAACTTCCCCACAGCTTGACTGAAATTCTCAACAGCTTGACTGAATTTACCAACAGCTTGACCGAACTTTTCAACAGCTTGACTGAACTTCCCCACAGCTCAACTGAACTTTCCAACAGCTTGACTGAACTTCCCAACAGCTTGACTGAACTTCCCAACAGCTTGACTGAACTTCCCAACAGCTTGACTGAACTTCCCAACAGCTTGACTGAACTTCCCAACAGCTTGACTGAATTTACCAACAGCTTGACTGAACTTTTCAACAGCTTGACTGAACTTCCCCACAGCTTGACTGAACTTCCCAACAGCTTGACTGAACTTCCCAACAGCTTGACTGAATTTACCAACAGCTTGACTGAACTTTCCAACAGCTTGACTGAACTTCCCAACAGCTTGACTGAACTTCCCAACAGCTTGACTGAACTTCCCAACAGCTTGACTGAACTTCCCAACAGCTTGACTGACCTTCCCAACAGCTTGACTAAATTTACCAACAGCTTGACTGAACTTTTCAACAGCTTGACTGAACTTCCCCACAGCTTAACTGAACTTCCCAACAGCTTGACTGAACTTCCCCACAGCTTAACTGAACTTCCCAACAGCTTGACTGAACTTCCCCACAGCTTGACTGAACTTCCCAACAGCTTGACTGAACTTCCCAACAGCTTGACTGAACTTCCCAACAGCTTGACTGAACTTCCCAACAGCTTGACTGAACTTCCCAACAGCTTGACTGAACTTCCCCACAGCTTGACTGAACTTCCCAACAGCTTGACTGAAATTCTCAACAGCTTGACTGAATTTACCAACAGCTTGACCGAACTTTTCAACAGCTTGACTGAACTTCCCCACAGCTTAACTGAACTTTCCAACAGCTTGACTGAACTTCCCAACAGCTTGACTGAACTTCCCAACAGCTTGACTGAACTTCCCAACAGCTTGACTGAACTTCCCAACAGCTTGACTGAACTTCCCAACAGCTTGACTGAACTTCCCAACAGCTTGACTGAACTTCCCCACAGCTTGACTGAAATTCTCAACAGCTTGACTGAATTTACCAACAGCTTGACCGAACTTTTCAACAGCTTGACTGAACTTCCCCACAGCTCAACTGAACTTTCCAACAGCTTGACTGAACTTCCCAACAGCTTGACTGAACTTCCCAACAGCTTGACTGAACTTCCCAACAGCTTGACTGAACTTCCCAACAGCTTGACTGAACTTCCCAACAGCTTGACTGAACTTCCCAACAGCTTGACTGAACTTCCCCACAGCTTGACTGAACTTCCCAACAGCTTGACTGAAATTCTCAACAGCTTGACTGAATTTACCAACAGCTTGACCGAACTTTTCAACAGCTTGACTGAACTTCCCCACAGCTTAACTGAACTTCCCAACAGCTTGTCTGAACTTCCCCACAGCTTAACTGAACTTCCCAACAGCTTGACTGAACTTCCCAACAGCTTGACTGAACTTCCCAACAGCTTGACTGAACTTCCCAACAGCTTGACTGAACTTCCCAACAGCTTGACTGAACTTCCCAACAGCTTGACTGAAATTCCCAACAGCTTGACTGAATTTACCAACAGCTTGACTGAACTTTTCAACAGCTTGACTGAACTTCCCCACAGCTTAACTGAACTTCCCAACAGCTTGTCTGAACTTCCCCACAGCTTAACTGAACTTCCCAACAGCTTGACTGAAATTCCCCACAGCTTGACTGAACTTCCCAACAGCTTGACTGAACTTCCCAACAGCTTGACTGAACTTCCCAACAGCTTGACTGAACTTCCCAACAGCTTGACTGAAATTCCCATCAGCTTGACTGAATTTACAACAGCTTGACTGAACTTCCCAACAGCTTGACTGAACTTCCCAACAGCTTGAGCTCGCTCAGCTAGGCAACTGAGACAAACCACAAATTACGAGACAAACTAGGCAGCAGAAGCAGAAGCACAAGCACAAGCCCAAGCACAAGCACAAGCACAGGCACAAGCACAAGCACAAGCACAAGCATAAGCACAAGCGTCACACAGGCAGACTAATCGAGCAGGCAGGCACCACAGCTCAGTCAGCTCACCTCCTCTGCCACTGCCGCCACAAACCTTACCGCCGAATCCAGCAGCGATATGTCCTTAAATAATAAGCCAACTTGAGAACAGCTAGAGCTTGATTCTAAATCAGATAGTACGGAACAGGCTAGCAGCGCAAGCAAGCAAGCACTACCGCAGCCAGGTCAACTTTTGAGACGTCTCAAAAACCACCGCAGCCAGGTCAGCTCACTCACCTCCTCTGCCACTGCCGCCACAAACCGCCCGCCGAATCCAAGCAGCGATATGCCCTTGAGCCAGTTCTGAAACAGGTCGCCCTCTCCTTCACACACCACCACCACAATCACCCACCCGTCCCCCTCCACCCGCCGCGCCTTCCGAGCAACTTCCACAAGGTACTCCTTTAGCCATCCCTCCCCTTCAAAGTCTAGAGCCAACCCTTCAATCTCCCTCCTGGCCTCCTCCTTCCTCCCCTCCCCCACCCTCCAAAACCCTGCTTGTTTCAACCTTTCTCTTTTCGCATCCTTCCCAGATATGTAATTCGCATGAATGGTAACGGCTCGGGGCTTTAACGTCTCGAACCGCGTCCAGTTATACGTCATAACGTGCCCGGAAAGGAATTTATTCGGCGGCAGGACCCCGATTTTAGGCGCAATGACTCGCCCATCCACGATGTTTTTTCCCATCTGGGCAATTACCATTTGCATCTGATCCTGGTCTATTCCCCCAGATCGCCCTGTTTTCGCCATCCTAAACGCCCAATCCGCGATGAAAGCCTTAGCGCCGGGTGTGGGGCGAACGTAGAGGAAACAGCTACAGTAGATCTTATTTTCCGGGTAGTAGCTTAAAGGCTCGCATGCACTTGATGCATTAACGAGTACGCTTTCATCCAGAGTCAAGTAGACATCAAAATCCTCCTCCTCTCCCCCTTCCTTCTGCTCCTCCTCCTGCTCCTTCTGCTCCTCCTGCTGCTGCTCCGACTGCTGCTGCTGTGCCCCCTCCTCCTCGTTCCCCTGACTTCCTCCCCCAACCCCCTTCTGCCCCTGCTCCTCTTGCAACTGCCGCTTTTGCTGCCTTTCCTCCTCCCTCTCTGTTCCTGCGCTATCTGGCTCTCCTTTTGCTCTTCTGCCACTTTTTCCTGCTCCCTCTCCTCCTCCTTCCGCTGCTCTTACCTCCCCCACACTCCCCTCTCCACCAGCGTCTGTTTCCACATCCCCTGCAACGTCACTCAAATCCCCCACATCCCCCACATCACTTGCTGCTTCTCCTTCTGCTGCTCCTGCTCCTCTTTTTGCTCTTGCTGCACTTGCTGCTTCTGCTGCTTCTGCTTTCTTTCGTGCTTTCGCCTTGGCCTTTGCCTTGGCCTCAGCTTCTGCCTTTGCTCTCTCCTCTAACTTGGCCTGTGCTTCCGCCTCTGCTCGTGCTTGTTCCTCTAATCTTGCCTTTTCTTTTGCCGCCAATTCAGCTTTCCGTTTTTCGACCTTCGCTCTCGCAATCCCTACACTCCCCTCCGCCGTGAAAAACGGAATAGGGTTCTGTGCCCAGGCTATATCTATATCGCTGTAAAACACATTAAAACCAAAGCACAGAAGGTGTAGTATATACACCGCACGATGCGATGCGACTTTGTGAAAACCAGCATCCCCATAGAAATGTGCCGACTCAAAATTACTAATTTTCTCTTCTTGCCCGAACTGCCCTGAAAACGGCAGCAAGACGGCCTATAACGGGGATGAAGAGGGGGGACGGGGGGAACGCAGGAGGAACGAGGGAGGAAGTGAGGTGAACAATGAGACATGTATGGAGGGAGTACAGGGAGACAGAGGAAGGTAGCACAGCACACAGGGAGAAACTCGCAACTCGACTTATCACACAGGGAGCAAGAGGAAGGGGGCATGGGCAAGGTTACACCTGTTCCGATCCGACACCCAACCCACCCACCCACCCACCCACTTGTTGGTGAGGAAGGAAAGGAGGAGGAGAATGGTACACTGGAAAAATGATAACGAGAAAAAGGCCAAATTTGAGAAGTTCAGGAGGAAGGAAATAACTGCCCTGCCCGCTTTCATAAGGACGTTTCAGATGATGATAAAGTAGACACACCCTTTTGATGTACGCGTTTTGAGGCACATCCAAGAGAAAAAACACCCTGCTATGCTACCCTAGCCAGGCATGCAAAAACCAGAACCCCTGAATTCCAATACAGACAAAAGGCCCACCACCACACCCCAGTGCAAATAAGAAACCACAGTCCCTACCCTACCCAGTGCTATACGCACCTGGCTCGGCCATTAGCTGGTGGCGAAGGCTAGAGCTGTCTGGTCCGCAGCAAAGATGATGAAATGGCCGCCCAGCCCCACCGCCTGCTCCCATAAGGACGTTCAGAATCCCATTGCATTGGCAAACGCAAACCCCTGCATGCAGTCGCACCTGGCCCGGCCATTTGCTGGTGGCGAAGGCTAGAGCTGTTTGATCAGCGGCAAAGATGATGAAATGGCCGCCAAGTCCCACCGCCTGCACGTGCCATGCCCAGTTCTCCAGCATGTCGTTGTAGCCTGTGAGAGGGTGACACGTGGCAGTGGGGTGCGGGAGTGGGGAGAAGGGGAAGGGGGTGGGAAAGGGGGCAGGGGGGAGAGGGAGGAGGGAAGGAGGGAGGAGGGAGGAGGGAGGAGGGAGGAGGGAGGGGGGAGTGGGGAGAAAAAGACGGGGATCGCCACTCCACTCGCTATCACCAACAGCAAGAAGAAGGCGGGGAAAGAGCTGGGGTGAGAGAGAGGACACTCCTCTCACCAGCGTTGAAGTAAACGAAGATAACGGTGCCGTTAATCGCCACTCGATTCGCCATCTCCCAAAGCACCGCCAACTGACTGTGGAGCTCCGACGCCTGCGACGCATACGACGACGCTCGCGACGCATGCGACGCGTGCGACGCTCGCGACGCCTCTCGCAACACGCGCGAAGCTCGCGACTCTCGCGGCGACGCTCGCGACCCGCCATCCCGAGGCGCGGGTTCAAGAGCACCTTGTTTGTGAGAGAAAACGGCGCTTCTGGGAATTGGATGCCTTGATTTAGAAAGGGTTGCCGAATCTTGACGACTAGAGGGCCGTTCTGTGGGAAAGGAGATCAAGGAGTTGACGGGACGTTGCGAGATGAAGGGCGGAGAGAATTCGTCTCTGCTGTGTCTGTCGCTGATGCCTCCTGCCGTCAATTGCGCGTCGGTGGTTCTTGCGAGAGTGGCGGCGGCAGCGGCATTGCAAACGGGGGATCGTGAGACGGAGATGAGGAGGACGAGGAGGAGAAGAGAGGAGGGATGCAGAGGGATGGGGAGGTGGAGGAGGTGAGAGAGGAGTGACGTCAGAGTCATCTTGAAATGGACCTTATAGTACCGCACTTGAGAATCCAACAACGGGTACGGATCGGATGATGAGCATCGTACGGTGGTGGTGGCGTCGCGACGTCCTTTTTTGGTCGACTGAAAAGTCGCACGATGGTCCTTCGAACGGGCGAGCGTCTTTGGAGAACAGCTTCTAAAGCTAAAAAAAACCACAGAGACGTCTCAAAAAGTCGTCTTTCTAGAATAACTCCAAAAACTCGAACTATCTGTCACGTGAAAGGAGCTTGGGTGATCGATCGGACGGTCCAGCTTCTCTTGCTGTACGTGCCACGTGGCCTGATTGCATTGCTAGAATTACATTATAACGCGGATGGCGATGGTCGAAGATAGGAGGAGTTGAGGGACTGCATCGCCTCGACGGTAATGAGATTGAGAGGATGAAGGCGACAATTGCTACTACTGAATCAGCTTATAGGAAACTCAGGCGACTGGCGAAGTATAAAGAACGGCAATTCACATGTAAGAAAGAATGGCCAAGTCAGTTGCAATTATGGCGACGGGTACTACTGGCGCGATGCGACAATGCGAGTCGCGACTTCGCCGACGGGTTGCATCGCATCGAAGACTGAGATCTCAATGCGGCTAAAAACTCGCGGGTAACCAGCCAGCGCGAACGTGACGTTTACGCGGAGAGAGCCGCTGAGTTTGTTTTAGTTCGATGGCTCTAATCTAGTACGCAATTATGCTGTGGAGGCGAGTTGTGCGCGATAGGTGTTGATAGGTGTTCCATTCTGCCTGAGTTTTGATACGTTTTCAGTCTGGCCGGTTGTAGGTGTTGATCGTCCACTGCACCTCTTTCCTGATTAGCGCATATGTAACCTACAGAACCGTCTAGAAACCACGAAAAAAACGATTCTGTGGGGGATGGATCAACACTCACAGCGTCATGCTGCTCAACCGCAACAAAGCGAACGAGGAAGAAAGTTGGTAAAAAGGCTCGTGGGTTGGGGTGAAAGCAGTTGCTGGTGGCGAGAAGGTCTCTCGCTACAAAAGGCCTCGTTTTTGGAAACGAGAACTTCGTGAGAATAGTGTATGATACATTATACAGCAAGCACCCCGCATGATATTTCAGCAGCAGCCAGTGCAGTCAAAATTCCCGCACAGAGCAGCCAGAGTCAGATCTGCCCCCAAAACCTATAATATGCGGGACAGCACAATCAGAACGTAAATAAAGGTGTATTTCACAACGTTCACGGGGTCGCTTGAACCAGTCGCATTTGCCCAGTCTTCTCTACACCCTTCCTTCCTCCACGCCTTCCACTCTTCATTGCAAAATCCTGTCCCATCCATTTCATTTTACCTCTATTGTTGACTACAACTAACAATGCCATATCGGTATGGTGTAGTGAAAAACAAGCATTCTGGTGGAATGGACAACGTATTGACAAAGCAAGCACCCTGTAGGATGATTCTGTAGCGAGCGTGTTGTGTACGTCTATAGCATGCTGTTTGCAGAGTCACTCTGCATGCCCTCGCGCTCTGCACGGGCCATTTCAGCAGTGAATCCAGAGGAGCCAATTGAACTCTGAATCTCGTTGTCAACAGAAGGTACGCCCTTGCTCACACGTGGCTTAAAGATCTCCTGCTTCAGCTTCAGCAGCTCCCCCAGCACTTGATTCATGGAGGGGCGGGAGGTTGCGGGCATGGCGGTGCAGGAGAGGGCAAGGCGAGCCCAGCGCAGCACCAAGTCATCTGGTGCGTCCAAGTATGGGTCCTTGAACACTGCCACAGCATCTGACTCCACAAACGGGGTGATCTGTTGGGTCAAAGGGACCACAGCCATGCGGATGAGCCTGATCCATTGCAGACTAATGATTTGAGAAGTGAATGTTAGTCATGCACAGCTTCTGCATAAAGCATTGGAGAAGTCAATTTGTGCCAAGCAACTGCGCCTCACCCATTGCTTTAGGTTGATCTGGCTGGTCTCACTGACATGAACGGCCTTACGTGCTGAAATCGCCACCAGCATCACCACACCGAAGCTGCCAACACCCAAGCAGCAACAGAAACAAGGGGAACAGAAGGGAGAGTGATACTATATTAGCCATACGTGCAACGATTTTCTCCTCCTTTTCAGGCGAAGAAATTAGTATGGCGCATAGACAAACGACTCTATAACGCCTGATGTTATATCTATTCGATGAAGAAGAACTGCATGTCAGTGGAGCGTCATGAGTATCAATGAAACAACCAAAAAGAGAACGGGTTAAGAATGGAGGCCGATGGAACCCAATCTTACATTGGAGCATTCCTTAGAGCACAATGACCCTGGAAAATAAGCAAGGCAAATCTTTGTGCTCACCTGTACACATCTGCTGCTGGAGTGGCCTTGTGGGACTTGTAATAGGCAGGGTCCACATAGCCCGGTGTTCCCATCACACGAGTGGCAGCCACAGACGCGCCCATAGCGGTGCCCCCAGTGAGCTTCACCAGCCCAAAGTCTGCAATCTTGGCCTGAACAGCGATTGCAAGTGCGTGGAGGCAAAACAATATAGGCCATTGCATGCTAGAATGAGAAAACAACGATCACAAATAAATCAAACTCAACGATGATTGCATGTGAGGACTGAATTTTGCAATTTTAGCATGAACAACAATTGCAAGAGCATGTAGGCAACAATTAAGTATCGGTCATCACCAATTTGTTTCCACCGAGCAAAAGCATGCTAGCAACAAGAAAACAAACCCCTAGTTTGGTCAAACAAAAAGAGAGCAAAAATTGCAATTTGACGTACATGCATTTTTGCATCAAGAAGAATGTTGGCTGGCTTAATGTCCCGATGCACAATGCCAAAGTCATGAAGATACTGCAAGCCCTTTGCCACTCCAATTAGAATATCGAGTCGTTGCGATAATGAAAGGGGGCTTGGAGCACCTAGAAAGGCACGGAGTGAAAATTATTATGCCATACCAAAATGTAGCATTTCAGTTGATCCTGAAATGAGAAATGCACACATCATGGTTGGAATTTGGTTGGTTCTTCATAAAGAGAAGAAGAACTTTCAACCTGTGGTTCGCCAATGAGAACAATAAGAGTTGTGGTGAGAAGAAGAAACTCTTAGTTCTGATCCGGATTCGCATATTGAAAGTGAAATATAGTCTGGCGCAAGAAGAAGCTATTCTGTATAGAGAAAAGCTTAGCTACTGGTCCAATCCAGCTCTCGAGATCCAAACAAGATAAGTCCAAAGGGGTTCAAAGCTGGTCGGTATAACGAAAAGATTGAATTATGCGTAGTAATTCACCAATGGCAGTAGAAGTGTTTACAGTGAGAACCTCCAACTCTGACCCAATGTGCAGGTTAGAAGTGAAAGAGATTTGACTAGCGCCAATCACAAACTGTCAAGTGTATAGAGATTCTTATGTACCTGGTCCAATCCAGCTCTCGAGGTCCCGGTTGACCATGAACTCATACACGAGCACTTGTTCTATGAGACTTGTAGCTGGGTCAAAGTTCACACAGAATCCCAGCAGGCGCACCAGGTTGGGGTGGTGCTTGCTCGCCATCTCCTTCACCTGAAAGTTGGGAAATCATTTGGTAGGGAGAGGAGAGAAGCGAACATATACGGAGTGTGCATGTGTGTGTATTTATACAAATGTTTGTTTTTGTATGTGGTGTGTATATATCAATGACTGTGTGTGTGGGGGGGCGGGGGGGAGGGGGGGAAGGGGGCTGCTCACAAAGGTAATTCAAAAACAGCATTGCAGCACAATTCATGCGCTGACACTCCCTTGTACACGCCGGAAGCATCATGAGCGAGGAAGTCGTTAAGGAAAGTCCGGTACCTCAGTAAGGAAGTCGTTGGAGAGGACCCTAGATCGCTTGACAGCCCACATCGCATTGGGGTCATTCACTGACACGCCCTTGTACACATCTCCAAAGGTGCCGCTGCCAATCCTGTTTCCCTCTGCCCAGTCTCCCGTTGCGCTTGCGAGCTCTTCCAGAGTGAATTTCTGGCACACATGTGGCTTCACTGCCTCCATCTCCACTACCACGTCCCTCTACTTCTCCCGTGCTGCTGCTCCCCCTGCCACAGCCACAGCTGCAGCAGCAGCAGCGGCTGCTGCTGCTTCTGGGTCCCTCTCCTCTCCTCTGGATGCTGCGTTTGAATAATCAGGTTCTGAGCCTGGAAGGGGTTTTGAAGTAGGAGATAAGACGAAGCTGAGGAAATAAAAGTGGATGGAAATTGAAGAAGAATGCTAGGGATGACGGCAGATTTTGGGCAGCATGGACTGGAAAGATCTTACCTTGGAGCACACGATCTTCTGCCAAATCCTTAGCATCCACATCGGTGCTGGTTCCGCCTCCCCCTGTTGACCCTTTGGCGCGGCATTGTTTGCACAGCAGCCAGGTAAGCAGCAGCAGCACAACAGCCACACTGCCTCCAGCAGCAATGCCAGCAATGGCTCCACTGGATAAACCGCCTCCAGACAGGGAGGGAGAGGCGGTGGGCTCAATAGGAGTTGACGTGGGAGGAGGTGGTGAGGGTGTGGGCACTGGCGATGGGGATGGTGCTGGTATTGGCGATGGGGAGGGTGTTAACACTGGCGATGGGGAGGGTGTTAACACTGGCGATGGGGAGGGTGTTGGCGTTGGCGATGGAGAGGGCTTTGGCACTAGTGACGGGGAGGGTACATTCATGGGATAGGAAGACAGAGACAGGGAAGAGAAAAGGCAATGAGACATGGGGATGGCGGTGGGCTTGGTGAAATTGGATTTGGCATGATGCAATTTTTGCACAGGGAGTGGAGGCAAAGGAAGGGCACTAAAGGGTTGTGAAGGCCATGAGGATGCAAAATTTCATATTATGAGGAGTAGTTAAGCTGCGGGATGCTTGACAATGGAAAGGCTTGTTTCGTAGGTGGCAATGCAGTGTTCACGCAATCAACACTAATGAGAGAAAAGCAAAATTAGGCAGTACAATTTGCAGCTACCTGCATAAGGAGCATCTCACCTGGTGGTGGCATGACACATGTGGAGCAGAAGGAGTCACACTCAAAGCAGAAAGCACTTATATTGGTCTGTGGGACCATGCAGCTGCTGTAGTTAGGAGGGCATGTGATTGCCGTCGAGAAGATCCTGCATGTGCAGATGGAGCGTTCTCAAACTTTGAATCACAAATACTCCAAGTGAAATGCTCTGAGCTGGAGAGGAACGCATTGCAGTGTTCTACCATGCCAGGATGTCAGCAGGATCAAAATACTGGTAAATAATACATTGTGTTTTTGCTTACCAGCCCGGTTCGATAGCTGTTAGGCCGATGATGATTGGGCCAGGCCATTTCAAGTCTGGCCCTTGGTACTTTGTTTACTTCCTACCTGTGGCTGCAATAAAACATGGACTACCTTACACCAGTGGAACACCTACCTAGGTTCCATCTACACCTCCACTTCATGAGACGCTTCAAAGCCAGAATGGTATTAAACCCAACATGTTAAGATGCCTTACAAGCTATAAAGACTAGTGAGATTGCCCACTATTGGAGGGAGCTGGCCAGTGAGGTTGTTCGAACTGGCATCACTGCAATGAAATTGACAGATTTTAGACAACAAGCCAAAGCATAGCTACCATAGTTCCTGATGGTGCATACATGTCAGAGGTTACACGTGTACAGAGATGAAGACACGAAGAATGAATCAAAAGGTGGTACAAGGTAGGAGACATCAAGAGAGGGAGATAAAAAATGCATGATGTGTTGACCTAAGATTGTATGATGAGCCGCACATCATCTTATAACGCTTTGATAAACGTTAATTGATTGCAGCTACAATATTTTACCCTAGCGGCCGGAACAGACTGCCAAGGCTCGAAATTCCCAGATTCTCCTTGCCTCTGATCCCTAGTTTGCGATTTCCATTCCTCCTTTTGTGGAATTTGCTGTGCCATAGGCAGCAGGTTGCCCCAAAAAAGGCTCCCAGCAGCTCCAATCACTACCGCTGCTTGAACGACTTGCCATGAGGCCGGCGGGGGAATGGTTGACAATTGTATAGGGGTTGAATAGATTTCACCTGTTTGGACAATGTCAGCTAACTGCTATAACTCAGTGGATCTGAGAGATGGTGACAAGCAGCACCCGCAGCAGCATGCCTCGCATCCAGTGCCGGCCGGCAGGTCAGCCGTGAGGGGCGTGCTTTGTAACAGAGGTGGCTTAAAGGACGTTCGGACACTCACCAGGGACTGACTAGCACCTTCCACAGCAGCATGCCTTGCATCCAGCACCGGCAGGTCAACCGTGATGGGTGTGCCTTGTACTACGAGGCATGCCCCTCACGGCTGACCTGGAGGTACTGGACGCGAGGCATGCTGCTGCGAACTGCCACATCTGCTCGTCTCGTCTTTGACCAGTTCATATAAGACAAACGAACCTCAGGAACAATCATTTGCCCACTCGCCTCATCTGCTAGTCGGCTCATCATGGACTGAAATGACCGCGATCGGCTGGAACTTATACGTTCATGCCTGCTCTTATCTTGTAGAAATATTCCAAGGCCCATAGACATTCCCAATGGAGGCAAATGCACGGCAAGATAGGGCTTGCATGAGTGCATTAGACATTACTTCCAAGTAGAACCAGGGCTGGCCTGGTCGAGTCAGCCTACTAGCAATACATCTAGCCTTATTGCACATCCAGCTTGTTAATCACGGTCCGCCATTTATTAGCGTCCGAACGAAAGTCAGCTTGTTGCAGAAAGGTCATGTGCTATGGCTGGTCGTGTTATGGTCTGAGACGGCTGTGCTCAATGCCATGTCTATGGAGATGAGGCCAGCAAATTGCCAGCGTCTTTTGAATTAGTACCCTTGCATATCTCCTTGCTGCAGACATCTGGCAGGCTTGCAGTGAAACCAATCCATTACGGGCCGCATCAGCAGCCTTGCTCGGCCCAGCGCCCCTTGCTGATGCTTAGCGTGCATGCCCATTCCCAAATCAAGTTGACCTAGTGTCACTATATGTTGCCTCTCTTGATTTGACAACCTCTCCCGGGTCATGTAAACTGACATGCATATTCCCTTGATCATGCTCACAACATAATGAGGTTTCTCATGTTGCCGATGGTGGATGGAATAGACCCACTCAGAGCGTTGTTGTCAAGAAACCTGATGGTACATCATGCAAAGGGTGTTATGGGTGGAAGAAATACTTAATCATGGGCACATGATTATGGTTGCATATAAGAAAAGTAGGGTTGAGGGGGGGGGGACTTGGTTCGGGCCGGGTCGGGCCGGCCCGAAAGTGCCCTGGGCCGAACCTCTTGGTTGGGGCCGTCGGCCCGGAGCGGGCCGGGCAGTCCCGGCCCGCCAATCTGTCGGCGGCCCGCTTTTGGCCTGCCTCAAGACGAAACCCAGGTCAGGCCTTTTCGGCCCGCTTTTGACCCCCACGGCAATTTGCCGTGGAGGTCCTATATGAGCTGCGCGACAGGGTTGTTGGAGCTCAATCAAACATACGAGAAGTGTTCCTTAGTAAACTCTACTTATAAGCTAGTTTAGTGCTGGTCGAGAGAACCCTAGAAGGTGATTACGCTGTCGACTATATATTTGGCCAACAAATGGGGCCAGATATAGTCGACATGGTTTGGAAATTGATGGACTGGTTGGAAATTCTAGATTCGGTGCAGTGAAGTGCGGTCTTTATTGTACTCTGTTGGCCTGATTTGAGACTTGAGCTTAATTGGGGAAGACGCGTCTAGCGTTAAGGTACTTTAAATCATGTCGACATGTGCCTTCTATTAGTGTTAGCCCTCAATCTCACACTTTGTACTTTATATTTTCTATATCCTAGAGTAGTGTAGTTTGCACTTTGTGTTTGGTTGGGTGTACACCTACATCCCAACCAAACCCAAATGTGATCTCCAAGCAATCTCCAACCCACCAATTGGAGATTGCCTTGGTATTACCCCCAATCCCTAGGGATTGCCCCCGATTCCCTTCCCCATCCATTCCCTACCCTTCTTGGAGGTACTTAAGAAGCTTCAAGCTCATTACTATTGTATCAGTTCTAAGCCTAAGTTGTGACATGGTATCAGAGCGCTTCAACCGCACACGCGGATCATGATTCTCTTATCTCTGCGAATGCTTGTCCCCCAAACCTCGGCGTAACCACCTTCAATCTCGTCGCCGGTGATTCGCGACATTCATGGGCGGAAATTCTCCCGCACCACCTTCCCGTCACTTTCGACAACATCTACGATTTCTCTGGTAAGCGCATCGTCGGCGCTATAACCTATCGCTCACTTTCGTCGAACGTCATCGCGTCATTTCTTCTCCTCGTCGGGCCGCCGCCCGTCGCCCCGCAGCTTCTCGTCGGGCCGCTGCCCGTCGCCCTGTAGCGTCACCTTCGGGCTGCCGCCCGTCGCTCTGCATCTGCACTCTGCAAAGAGTCACTCTACAACGGTAAAAAGCTAGACTACAGGGGTTGACCAACTACTAGGAGTGATCGTAGCTTTGCTTGGTTCCTTAGTGCTTGCACATTCACGGGAGAAATCGGCAAGAGTTTCCACTAGCAAAGTTGGAATTCCAGAATGATTGAACAAGCAATAACCGAATGACTACATCAGGCACCTAGCAACCCTGCAGCTAGCCTGGTCGACCGCCAGCACAGCCCGGTCGACCGCCTGCCAGCGTTGCGTAGAGGAGCCGCGCCAGCACTGCAGAAGGGCGACCTGCCAATAGAGCAGGTCGACGGCGTGCCAACGCTGCAGCAGAGCTGCTGTCCAGCGTTGCCCCGTAGAACACAGCAGTGCGCACGCTCGCAGGTGCACGCAGACGATTGGCCCGACTTGCTTCGTTGGGCATCCGTCAGCTATTGTCTGCGCCTGACAAGCCACATCGACTTCGGGATACCAGCCCGCAGTCGTCTTCGCCATCGCAACCTCGACGACGTTCGCGTGCCTCCATAGAACTCGTTGAGCAGGTTACCCGGTCGACACCGTTCGACCACCACGTGCTTCCGGTCGACCACCACTGCTTCTGGTCGACCACCAGGTCCCTTTGGTCGACCACCAGGTGCCTCCGGTCGACCACAACTCCCGTCGAGCTACCCCCTGGTCGACGGACCCCTTCCGTCAACTAGAACCGTCAGCGGTTGTCGCCGAGCTCCCCTCGTCGACCGCTGCTCACTTGCCAAGTCGACGGACTGCTCCGTCGACCTCCTGATCGAACTGCAAGTCGATGGGATGCCCCAGAGACCTCCCGGTCGAGCTGTAGGTCGACAGAGACCCCCTGGTCGAGCTGCAAACCGACGGAGACCTCCCGGTCGAGCTGCAGGTCAACGAAGGCCTCCCGGTCGAACTGCCCCTCCTGGCCGACGGCCCACCCGTCGCCCAGACCAGCCAGTTGCAACTGTCAAGCTCCCTGGTCGACATCAGCATCACAGTGGTCCCTTGCAGCTTGACGAAGCCTGTCGAGCAGCTCTCCCACTGTGAACGGTCGGCTGCTACTCCCGTACATCCGACCAAGTCGTCAGCGTTGCCCAAGCGAGGGCGGAGCCAACACTCCATTCCCATTAACACTCCCCTGCCGCGCTCACGCTTGGGCGTCCAGCCCACACGGCAGTACTCCACGGAGAAAACTCGTCCTCGGCGTGCACCCCACATGCAGCACGCCGTCACCGCACCAGCCGTGCAGAAGGGCGCGGCACCTACTGCTGCACCTCGTCGTCGCCGTCGCCGACGTCGGCCAGACGAACTTGG